GTATTAGATAGTTGCATCATATGATGCACATTTCTCTGTTCAAAAAGATATTGGCAATATAGGGGAAATATTTTTAAGATTTGTACTTTGCTTGAACGCCGGTACTAAGCATAAGATGTTTTGCTCAGTCAAAATTACAATAGGTTATTGGCAGAAAAAATACCTAGGAACCAGAAATGGCATTTACTGATTTATTTCATTTATTTCTTTGAATATATATTTTCCGTAAAGCGATTATTCGCTATTGGGATTTCAATAACATATTTGTTATGGTACGACATTCCAATCAAGGCATCTTTTAAAATATGTTTGATTTATACCTATGTCAATAACTGACCTACCCCACTTAATATTACGGTCCTCTTCCCTTTACGTGATTCGTATAGGACGCAATGGCCCAATCTAGTATTGGTAACAAATTAGTTATATAAAGACTGTCATCAAGATAAGATTCCATTAATGATTGCATACTGTACTTGTATGGCGTTATAACAAATGGACCCCTAGTTCTGAGAGCAACCGTATACGTGGCCTTCTGCTCGCTTGAACAAAAGAAAAGAACGCGCCCGCGGATTTGATCCGCCAATGAGTATACAGATGGCGCTGATAGTCTAGCCTTCGGGGCTTGGTAAGAAAATCTACCAATGGCATTACGTTTCTGTAAAGGAAAGTGACACACGCTTTATTAATTCATTGGATGCGGTTGGTTAAAAAAAGTTGGTATGAAATATGTGGATTTATATTTTGAAAATGTGATAGATTAAAAACAGTACTGGATATTTATAAACGTGGGAGTTCATACAGGACACAGGAGTAGATTGTTACTAAGGACTATATTTGAATAGTTTACCTACGGTAAGTAACGTTTTTAAGTTATTTTTGTTTTCAAAACTCATTTTATAAACTGCATTAACAAACTTACATCTGTGCATATTAATAGCCAAAACAATTAAAATCGGCTTGAATTCCATTTAATTATTTAATTGTTAATATATAGTATGTCATATTGTGTGCACGTTAATAAATAAAAAAAAACTCCTTTCTCAACTCCAAATAACATATTACTTTAACCAACTGTTTCTTTAGTGCTCCCAACACTTGCATTTGTTTCCTTTTCTGTTTTATAAAACATGTACTTCGATGTATTGCCAAACAAAATTTGAATAAAACAAAGTTTAAACCAGCAATTGTATTGTTCAAGCAAAACAGTACGTTGTTCAAATAAGACTACTACTAAAACATTCAAACTGTATATGATTAATCAATGTGCTGGTAATTGTTATTGCTATCACAGATTATTGTTATTCTTTACATATTCTATACTTTTGTCATTAAATATAAGTATGTGTTCAGTAGATGGTAAAATGTCATATGTTTTCAACAAATGTTATATACATTTTTTATTAAAACATGTATTTTTGTATGAATTAAGTTACTTGAATCTCATTAAACGTGTACTGTAATTATTAAAAAATGAATTAGTCTTGTTAAGTAAGACATGTTTTAATAAAACAGTATATTTTTAGCTTTTTAATTGCAGTAACACAGTTTTCTAAAACACTTCTGAACTTACAACATTAAAACAAGCCTATTTATTGACCAACACATTTTTTTTTGATAGGGCAGCGTATCATCACATTGGATTTATTAAGACGGTTTCCAAAAATGATCAAAATGAAACGTGCTTTAAAAAATGTCTGAATCTTAATGGGTTTATTCACGATTGATTTCTCAACAAATTGATTGATAACGTGATGCTATTTCGTTTTATTTTTTTAAAGTATGTTTAAAAAGTGATAGTCATTAAATGTAATGATGCATCCGTGATAAATTATAAATCAAGATTTTTTTATCTTTTATATACAGGCTAACGTTTTGAAATTCGACAGACATGGAGTTGCTTCGTATGTTGTTCTTACTATCATTGGGTCGATCGTGCTCCACACAGACGTCTCATCTCAAAGAACTAGTCATTCAATCAGTTAATGATGCCATTCGAACGGGTCAGACAACACAGTTTGGACGTAATGGTAAGATAAAAATTGTTTTGTATTTTTGAAGATTGACTGAAAGGTATATTCATTCTACGTAGATATTTCACTGTTTTTAGACTATATTGCACATACGCTTAGCCGATCATTTCGGAACGTCATAAAAACATTGCCGATGTGTTATATGAACCTATATAAAAAAAATCCTTGAAATACTCAGTTAAAGTTCCATATTCTGTGTGGGAACTCATAATGACCTTTCTTTTTTTCGTTGTTGTCTTTTGGTATCGACGTTCAGTTCAGGATATAGAATGTATTCTGTGCTCAAGCCAATTTTCTAATAACTAATCAAAATAATGCAACATAATCAAACAAAAACATCCAGACATTGATGGTGATATTTGGCTTCAAATTTTGGCCCCCCAAAATCAATAACACGAATGCTAAATTATTAAACTTTTAGTGTTAACTTTTGCACAAATATTTGCTATGGTGCATGGCAGCTTTACTATGTTTATGTGTATTAACACCGTGTTTTACTTTGTCTATATGCATTAACACTGTGTTTGACTTTGTCCAGGTTCAGTAACACTGTGTTTGACTTTGTCCATGTGTATTTACACTGCGTTTTACTTTGTCTATATGCATTAACACCGTGTTTTACTTTGTCCATGTGCAGTAACACTGTGTTTGACTTTGTCCATGTGCAGTAACACTGTGTTTGACTATGTCCATGTGTATTTACACTGTGTTTTATTTTGTCTATATGCATTAACACCGTGTTTGACTTTGTCCATGTGCAGTAACACTGTGTTTGACTTTGTCCATGTGCAGTAACAGTGTTTGACTTTGTCCATGTGCAGTAACACTGTGTTTGACTTTGGTCCATGTGCATTACCACTGTGTTTGACTTGTGTTGACGCGGGGTTTTAGAAACGTTTCGACAAAAGATGTCAGCAACCCTAGGAAAATATATGGCGCCTACATGCATACTTACTGTTTTGCTTTTTTTTTTATTCAGGGGGTAAACAGGAAAAAGTAGGAATGGAAAATGACGTCGCTGGGTGTACTTTGTGGCAACACTCTCTGTTCTCTGCCAGTCCTGAACCGGGTCGTGTACCACAATCTGACAAAAATGCCGCTCTCTCACTTTCTGCATTGCGCAGGTTTAATGATTTGTGAGTACAAACGTAATTCACTGAGTAAATAGTTTTTTTTATTGTTTGTTTAACGTTTACTTCAGTGTAATTTCACACAAGTCTACAGCGGGATATGTAAGTAATAACTGCTTTCAGCTGCGGTTCATAGACGTTATGAATACCCATTGCATTATAGGAGAACGACAGTATCCCTAAAAGTTATAGAGGAGGGTCATTTTAATAGAACGAACTATTATAGGTATGGATTCATGGTGGAATAGTCAACTTCTAGTCCAAACGCACTGTCTGATTACTCATGACGGTTCATAGTCTAATGACCCGAAACTAAGTTTATTTAGTCAACATGGTGACACTTCAGCGCAACTGTAAATATAAGCGTACAGGAATCAAGACTGTTTTGAGAAACGCTTTTGAGTTTTTATTAAATGATTACTTGTTACATTGTATATCTTTAAGTCTCAAAAAATAAGTCCCCTTCGAAAATTTTAAAGGGTTTCTTTCAGTCATATTTGTTTCTTAAACAATCATTCAATTCATATAACGATGTTGAATAAAACTGTTTTTATTGGTTAATAAATATTGGAAATCTAGCTAGTAGATCGTTTTTAAACTATATATCAGTAAATGTTGGCGAAGATTCTATATATAATTTTGCTTCATAATGTTTGGTGACGTATTGATGCTGCAGTTGTTTTCTTCTTCTTTTCTTTCTTTATTATTTATTCATTTTTTTAAAAAAAAAATCTATTTCTATTTAATTTTATTCTTATTTTATTTGTCATTGTTATTATTTCCATTGTTGAGTTACATTTTCCCATACAATGTCTCTACTGTAGTAAATATAAACATGGCGGTTATGTCAATGCAATAAACGTTTGAACAATCTACACGTTAATTAAAACAAATAATCGTATATTTACATTCTGTTTCGCTGAAATCTACATGTATCTCTGATGGTAACTTTAAGAACGAAATGCCCTGCGGACGAATTCAATCAGCCATACTCTCTGTTTATCTATAGAGCGTACGCAGATAGCAATCATAATAAACACCTGTGATATATATTACAGGTACGTGGTCGTTTAATGACGAACTCAATGATCTGGTTGATTACATCTTTAGCCGAGTAGTATATTAACATATCATCAAACTATTATAATAGAACCATTAAGTGAGAAATAAAGTTCACTATTCAGTGTCGGCAAATGTAAATTTCAGGGGGGGGGGGGGGGGGGGGGCGGGGGGTTCGGTTGCTATGAACGCACATATTTACAACACAAAGTGAAATAATGAATTGTTTGCTATGTTTCATTTCCCGTATGTAGACTTTTCGTGTTCAATATGTGGGACAGCCAAATCCTCTAAAAATAATTTGGTACACGTTAAATTTTCATATGATATCCTCTGCTTGATTTGAATTACCGCCAGATTAATTCAAGATTTCCATATCCTTTCTGTTTTTCATATCAACTCCTGACTTGTTTGACACAATGTAACACCCCACATTGTACATATGAAATGAAACAAGACTTAAGGATGAGGGTCTGAACCATTACAATACAATCATTACATGACCTCAGTATTTATGTCTGAAAGAAGCGTCTCCCCCAGAAAATAATTGTTTGAATCACATGCTTTTATCACTTTGACGGTTAAATTTCAGATCCAATTCTACTGGTCCGGAAATGATCACAACAAGCGAAGAACTACTTGATACATGGCGTTCACAAATTACTTCTCAATGTATACCGTCACCTACGTCAATGAACTGCAATATGCTGGAAAGATACAGGTCAGCCGACGGAACATGCAACAACATCCATAATCCTTTATCTGGTTCCTCTTTTAGACCACACCGAAGATTATTACCTCCGGATTATGAAGACGGTAAATGATAAATCACATCACCACAAGAACTATGAAAAGTATGCCATATCACAGAAATAATTATCTTTTTCCGTGTAGGTAAAACAAATACCATACCGCTGAACCAAATCAGATCACGAAGACAAAATCTGACCCAAAATATTAAAGACTGGATGGTGCTCGAAGATACGTAAAAATGTAAAACAAAGAGAGATGCATCCCCCTCAGCAACATCTTTTCATAGCAGAAATATTTCCGGGTAGAAAGTGTGCATGCATCATTGTGTATTCTCACATCTAGCAATATTTCTCATATTGAACAAAATGTCTCATCTCTCACAATGTACATTAAATCTTACAATATTTAACACAAATGAAACATTTCACATTATTAAAAACTTTCATATTTGTCTAGAAGGAAAATTTAGTTTTATAATTGTTATTCCTGGTGAAAAAATGGAATATATGAAACTTTCAATTAACATTTATCTATTTGCTCCAGGTATTGATTCGCCTCGTATCCGAGCAGATAATGGTGCAATTCTCCCCAGCGCACGTTTGGTCAGCAACACACTACACAATGCTGGTCGTACACACACTAGTGAATCCTTTACCGTTATGTATATGTCATTTGGCCAGTTCCTTGACCACGACCTCACAAGTACTGCTTCACTTAAAGGTAAGAGGAGGAAATACATATCTAGTTAGATAAGGTATTAGTACAGTTATTTGTATGACTTCTATGATTTTAGACAGAATCCTAAAGTATATTTTACCTGTATACTACATAACTTATTTCTCAATATTTACAAGCTTTTGGAATATTTTTTTCTCTGGGCACACACTTTTATATTTACTGTGTGGAACCCATGTCCATATACTGCCTTAAATAAAACCATAAATAAATCATAAATAGGTACATATGTTTTTGTAGTATGTTTGTAAAATCAGTCCATCATGTCTTATATGTAATTTATTTCATTGAAGCAGAGAATATTTTTATTTTTAACATCGATGATTTCCTCGTTTGAAATGCAAAGATATAATTTTATCATTGAAGGGCGAACGTCTGACTAGGCGACAGTTTCCCAGTATACAGCAGTGATTGATAAATAAAAAGGAACAAAAACTAACCACTAAATCTATTTGTCATTAATCACTAACATTGGTGCAGCAAAAACGTTCGTTTATAATGCTATAAAAAGGACCTTTGGGTCTGGATTGTTATCTTTCATGTTTTTACAATTGCTAAGTTCACATTAAATCGATCCGTTTTGGTCTCCAATTTGTTTCCGATAAGATGTTAGACGACGTCGAAGGATATCCCGCACCCTCTGTCATACAATTCTGCAATGGGAAGCAGCATGTCCATTACATTATCACGTTCAAAAACATCCGTTGGTAATAAACAATGGAAAAGAGTGTTATGTTATTATTTCTTGCTAAATTTTCTTCAGTATTTCTGAAATGATGTGGCATTATTCTTTAATTGCCTCGTGTAACTATTTTTCATTTTTTTCAGTATTATTAAATACTTGCTTTTTCCTCAGATGAGAACAACAACCCTATTGATTGCTGCTCAAATAGCAACGCTGCACTATCAAGGTACGCGAGAATATGTGTCATAATATCTGCATGTCTGATTATGTCTTAAAATAATAACTAAATAAACCAACACATTTCCTTATTTATGGCGAATCGAACAAAAAATATATTGAATTAGAAATTTAATCTATAACTTCATTAATAGTTCTATAAAAAAAATAAAGATTTAAAGAAATTTGCGCGGTGTACCTTTGTCTAGGAAAACAGGATAAAAATGTACATAATTATACTCAGCATTTACACGAATAGGTATAAACTTACTTGTACTATTAGAACAATGTGGGTGGGTAGAAGAAAAAACAATATTTACACAGATGTATATAGCAACGGATTAGAACATGTTTAAGTATATCATTAGCCGCAATTCGAGCAAATAAAAAAAAATCTTTTGGAAAATGTGTTTTCATCTTTGCCATCATATTTGTTTTGTAAAAAAAGAGTATATATTTTCTTCTCAGTGCCTGTTTCCCGATAAAAATACCCATCAACGATACAAGATTTACCAAGTCGTGTATGAGTTTTACACGGTCTGCAGCTGCAGTTAAGAACGGATGTGACCCAGGTAGGTTCAACTATTACATTTTTTGTTTATCCTTTCTCAGTCTATTGAGCCAAGTATATCGGTTTTATGCGTTTGTGATAAAATAACCAAGTACTGCGAAAAGGACAGCAGAAATCATCTGTAAACTGTTTTGTAAAATATTGATATTCAAACTTCCCCTGATAGTGTAAAGATGACATCATCTTTAATACTATTATTTCCGTATTCCTTATTCCTTTTGCTATGGATAAAACCCTATCTAAATACGACAATTGTAGTGATCCTGTTAAATTGTTGTTATACTTCATTAAACCACCATCAATGTATTTAATATGTCCCGTACATATATGTGCTGTACGCTGTAACAGAGTGAATACTTGACGGTTTGACTTCAAAAATTCAATAACAATAGTATATGAGCCTGTATGTATTTGAATACATGTGAATAAAGATATGATCATTGATGACATCACAAAAACAGTGACAGGCAGACGTTGTTTGAGTACAATGTCAGATTATGACGAGAGATTTATAACGTAGCCTATCAACCATCTTCCGATCTGACGGGGATTATATATCATTGAATATATATTTATAAAATTACCTGTGTCAAACTGAATAAGTTAGAGCTAAAACGAATGTTCTTAAATTTTGTAAAGTCAACCAATTTAACAAGATTTTTTTCTATTTTTTGTATTTTAAATTTAACTTACGCAGATTATCGTCAACAAATTAATCAACTGACTTCATACCTTGATGCATCTAACGTATACGGATCTACTTTAGAGTCACAAGAAAGGCTGAGGGAGAAATCTGGAGGTAAAATGTTATTTGTTCACTGCAAGCTCAGGGAACAGAATTCAAATGTATGTCCAATTACAAAATTGTCAGAGAGGACTTGTTGTATGTATCTGTTCCCTTGGCAACCCTGAAAGAAAAAACAAATTTGTTACCTTTATTCACTGATTATATGTGATTATGTTACCTTATTACTGACATCTCAGAAGCATTTGCTAGAACGAAGGATTAGAGGGAATTATAAAATTAGAATTCAGTTCATCTCATTTGATTGAAATTGAAGAATACAATCAAAATTATATATATTATTTTGCAATCATTGGTCTTTTTAAGCGACGTCGCCATCTTGAAATTAACATGAATGGGTCAGGTATATTGCTTTGATTGATACGCTACTGCAGCTCTGCTCATATATATTTTAATTAATACCATAACCATAACACTATAAACATATCACTTATCACATACAACGACAACACATGTGTTGGTCCCTCCCAATTAAACCGTCGTATAATCTGGACAGTCTATTCTCTTTCGATTATGTGTTGGTTTATAAGGTCTTTAAATACATACAGCTCAGAACGCAATATTTTAACGTAAATAAGGAAAGAGGTTTATGATAAGAGTTCAGATAAAACATATGCTTTTCGGTGGCTGTACGATGTACCTAAACCAGTGGTAAATACTGTTCCAAAGGGAAACGTTTAGTTTCGTATAGGATTTAAATTACTTCAATTATTTTCTTATCCTTGGAACTTAACCTTGAATTTCCTTATTGTTTTCACTATTAGTTGATACATATTGACCTAAACTTTGATTTCTTTTGAAGGACGCATGCGCGTATCAGACCAAGGCGACCTACTTCCTTCATACAAAAATAATACCTGCATACTGACCAATCCTTCAAAAACCCACTGCTTTGACGCAGGTAAAGTATGCTATAGAAACAAATATTTTATTCATATACTTAATCTGTTGTAAAGTTTTACCACAGATTTTTGACATGTAATTTGTTTTCACACATTGTAAAGTCAGAAGAAAAAGACTTTTTAACTGCAATTTCGACACCTGAAAAAGGAGTCCTTTGATATTTGGATCCGTGAACTCGACCCGCTCCCTTAAAACTCGTTTTGCATATTTGACTAAAATTCTAAAGGAAGAAAGTTGACAATAAAAAGAAAAAATCCATAGATAAATAATGAATCAATTGATTGCATTAACGTTTAATAAATTAATGATGAATCGATTGATTGTATTAACGTTTAATAGATTAATAATGAATCAATTAATTGCATTAACATTTAATATATTAAGGATGAATAGGTTGATAATATTAACGTTAAATAAATTAATAATGAATCAATTGATTGCATTAACGTTTAATAAATTAATAACGAATCGATTGATTTTATTAATGTTTAATAGATTAATAATGAATCAATTGATTGCATTAACGTTTAATAAATTAATGTTGAATCAATTGTTTGCATTAACGTTTAATAAATAAATGAAGAATTGATTGATTTTATTAATGTTTAATAGATTAATAATGAATCAATTGATTGCATTAACGTTTAATAAATTAATGTTGAATCGATTGATTGCATTAACGTTTAAAAAATTAATGATGGATCGATTGATTGCATTATTATTTAATGATTTGCTTTACAGGTGATGAAAGGAATTCGGAGGTGCCTACATTAACGACATTACACATCGCTTTCCTAAGAGAACACAACAGGATAGCAAACACTCTCCGATTGATCAATCGTGATTGGAACGATGAACTGGTTTTTCAAGAAGTGCGAAAAATTGTTGGGGCATTACTTCAACATATAGCATATAACGAATACCTACCAAAAGTTATAGGACCAAGCTTCATGGACATGTATGACTTGAAACCAACTCCCACTGGATTTAGATCTGTGTATAATGACACTATAGATGCCACTGTTACCAACGTATTTGCAACTGCAGCTTTCAGGTTTGGCCACTCACAGATACCAGATAAGATGATGCTGATTAATAAAAGATTTAAAAAGAAAGCTATTATGAACTTAGAAAAACAATATTTCAAACCGGATCTCATGTTCGAGAAGAATGGCCCAGAGTGGCTAGCACGGTGGCAGGTTTCATATGCTCAGACTAAAGAGGATAACTCTATTCAGAGCAGTGTGAGAAATTTCCTATTTTTAGACTCAAAAAATGATAGTCTTGACCTCGCTGCTTTGAACATGCAACGGGGGCGTGATCACGGACTGCCATCATACAATGCCTGGAGGTCTTGGTGTGGCCTTAATCCGGCCTCAGACTTTAGTCACCGCAAAAGTGGACTCGTCAACCATTATCGCACTGGCAGAAATAGACTTTCTCGTATTTACAGGTATATACATTGTTTATACAAGACGCTTTTAGTTGTAAAAGTCTTCATTTGTAGCGTGCATACATCGTTCGCGCACCGTCCGCGTATTTAACAATCGATTGCCCCGTTGTGCAATTCTCTTCTCACAAATTCGCGATTTTGTAGAATTGGTTAATCAATATTACAGAATGTAAAATGTCCGGGGGGTTCATATGAAATAAGTTGCATGTACACTTTATATATTAATTTCTCATTACAAAAATGTACATGATGTTCATTGTTTTAATATTTTCTATAGCTCTTCTTTTTCTAGATTTTCACACCTCGACGAGTAACGTTAGTGCATCGGATCCGAAAAATAAGATCCTGATACATGTTCAAAGTGGCTATGTTTAACTTATGAGATAAGCTTATAGATGAAGTAAGAATAAAGAAGTATATGACTTAACACAAAACCTTATATATTATTAAGTTATTCCTCAATTTACACCAACCACGATTGTTATCTCGAAACGTTCGTCCATCGTAAGCTAAAATGTGCGCAAGCAACAATCGTCCAGATTTGTATCGTTCACACATGGTTCACACATCGTGCACACACCGTGCGCACACCGCCCATTGTGATTCCGCGGCTGGCTGTCTCGTTGGTTTATAGAGGCATGTCAACAAGTATAAATTCTCTAAACTTGAAAATTAGCAATTGATTACCAACTGTAAATATATGTTATTACGTGTTGCTAATCTCTAGCGGTAGGCTATTTTAGATGTTTATTTTGTACAAGTAAAATATCAGTTGGATCTGGTCTATGATATGTTTTGGTACAATGTCAAAAACGTGTTGTTGAAATTATTCGTTTTGAGATGCATACATAATCTATGAAATATCAAAACATTGTTTTGTATGGTGGCATATCTCTGCCATCTACTTGCGACTTACGAGTTACGTATGTCGACATAATTATTGAAAGATGTCGACATAATCTGAGAATATGTCGACATAATCTGAGAAGATGTCGACATAACTTTTAAATTATGTCGACATATTATCACATTTGCCGAGATAATTTTGCCGAGATAATTATCTCGTAAGTGGGTAACTCGGCTTTTTATCGTGTTAATGCTCGGGTGTGACATCGACTTACGACTTGCCACTTACGACTTATTTATGTAAAATCCCTCTTTGATTGATAAACTCTGTACATCATAGTAACCTACTGTAATATCCATATCTTTGATTTCCCATATTTACATTGATTTTACCAAGTTACTCACCAGTATAGTCACCACTGTTCAGTCACCATCAGCCCACCTTCGCGGTCCTCGTGCACAAGCCTCGTTTTGGTAAGTCGGCAATAATCTACTAGGATGTCGACATAAATAAGTCGTAAGTGGCAAGTCGTAAGTGGCAAGTCGATGTCACACCCGAGCATTAACACGATAAAAAGCCGAGTTACCCACTTACGAGATAATTATCTCGGCAAAATTATCTCGGCAAATGTGATAATATGTCGACATAATTTAACAGTTATGTCGACATCTTCTCAGATTATGTCGACATATTCTCAGATTATGTCGACATCTTTCAATAATTATGTCGACATACGTAACTCGTAAGTCGCAAGTGGATGGCAGAAATATGCCACCATAGTTTTGCATTTTTTTTTTGTGATGAAATATACTTATTTATCAGTTAGGCGTAAAACAAGTCCCAGAAGTACAGGTAGATTATAAGTCACAGGTAGGTTATTGGTTAAAAGTAGGTTATCAGTTACTGGTATGTTATTTGTTAAAGGAATATTTAGGTTGTTCATTTCAGGTAAAAAATACATATTGATTATTAGTTCGAATTTGGTTTTCGGTTATACGTACACTTAGGTTGTTACAGCGAATGACTTATTTTTGTCCTTTTTGACGGAATATTGCGATTCGAGTCTGATAATTAGATATCTTAAAAAATCGTATTCAGATACCTTCAACATTTTTCACTTTCTAAGAAATAACTACAGACATCAACGGTACCTGCCTTCAATGCTGAAAACTGTTTTTACGTTAAACTGAAATATAGGTAATGGTTAAATCCTAAATCAAATGATATTTCATCATTGTACTGCTTTCAGTTTGCATTCACAAACAACATGAATGCCAACTGACCAAACGCAAAAATCATCGATATGTCTTTGCTCAATTGGCATTCACATTGCCCAAAAATGTCCATCAGGATCATTTCAATACTCTTAAAAAATACGAACTTTATAAAATTAGGCATTTCGATCAAATTATTTTAATGTGTCGTTATGATTGTGCAATGAATAGAACGGCCAACTGTCCAGGAAAGGTCAATAGAACCCCACGTCCCAATTATGATGTAAACAATTGGGTCAAGGCAATCATAGCTGATATAAATGTTATCAGAATGTTGAGGGGTCATATATAATGATAATGCATTGCAATGGTAAATACAGTAGCTGTCTCCAGTTTTAATATTGATAAATATATTTGTTTCAGTTCCCCCAATGATATTGACCTTTACAGTGGTGGTTTGTTGGAGAAACATCTGCCTGGTGCCTTGGTGGGTCCAACGTTTGCTTGCATCATTTCCAGACAGTTTCGGGATTTACAAAAGGGCGACAGATTCTGGTATGAAAACGATGCGCCATATACTGGATTTTCGGAAGGTATTTATACATAAAGTAGAGAAATTTGTAATAGCACGAAATATATAGGTTTAAGCACAAAACGTGTATAATTTAGCATAAAATCTAGATATTTTAACACAATTGTCGTTAAAGACGTATACGTCAATACGTATAATACTTTAGTATTGTAATAGTTATTTACTTAATGTAAAGTTTTTATTACTGGTTGTTTAAATTAATATTGTTATGCAAAGTTTTAATACATGAACCAAATCAATGTGAAAATGTAGTTTATTGAGTTCGGCTTTTAATTATAGAACTAAACCTGATAAGAGAAAATAATGATGTAAAAAATTAACGGGAAAACGTATCTAATTTCCTCATGTTTGGTTTTTGAAATTATCCTGACGTTATTTAAAAAATGGATGTAAATGCGCCTAACAATATGTTATTGTTTTAAAACATTAATGCAAATAAACTGTTCTTAAATTTTAAATATGTTTAGAATGTAATGAACAACAATTGACAATTGCATATTATTTTGTAATAAAGAATAGACAGTCAAGTTTGGACAAAAATACCTTAAACAGACCGAAATGCCAGGAATGTGGGGTTCTACTTAACTTGTCATTTTGTATTTTCAGCTCAACTGAATGAAATCAAGAAGATGACTTTGTCATCCATTCTGTGCACCAATCTCCATTTAGTGAAAACACAGCTAGACTCCTTCCAAATGAAATCCGATACGTACGTAAAGCCACCTTATATATGCATATGTTGTCAAACTTCGACATGTTTACCTATATTGTGTTAATACTAGAGCTCCATACCAATTATTGCTTCAAAGAAAAAATCAAGCTGTGAACTTTAAATTTATAATTTAGTATACTATGTACGAGCTGACTATCAAAGGGATTGTTAATCCTGTACATACTTCATGTAAATTGTCAGAATAAATCTGTGTATCTGTGTAGTTCATGTAGATTTCTGACAGTGCAAGTCGACATTAATTTTGTAGTTTGTTGCATTTCTCCCGTCGAGATGGTTTTGATCGTTTTGCCTTATATATCAATAGTATGTGTATTATTACTGTTCTGTACAAAAGGAATATATATCATGGTCGTTCCAACTGAGCTCATATTTCTGTACCCTTTCAATACGTTGTGATGTATTAATTTTAAACATTTACTTTTTTTAAACTGAAAATATTATCATTTTGATTAGGATGGTAATGAAAGTTTATTAAAGTTAAAACGAACCCCAATGTATAGAGCTGTGTCAATGAACGTTGCAGGTTTTGGGTAAAAGAAATTTTCAAAAAAAAAAAAGGGATGTCGTCAAAAAGTAATGTCACGATCAACACACACACTCATGATACCCCAAATATGTGTAAGGTTTAGTGTGAGCTTCAGACGTTTGTATTTGACTCAGGCGACAGAACACCACAATATGCTACATGTAGTATGACATAATTTTATAAATTGTGTTAATAAATAAAAATTAATCTATATTTCATAGTTGTGCTAAAGATAACAGCATTTCACCTTGTCTCCCAACAGGAACCAAAGGAGAGAATGCAATAGCCTCCCGACAATGGATTTGACGAAATGGGCCGCAAATTAGATTTTAACCATTTCACCACTGTAGACCATAATGGACTCATCCAAATCAATGCATGGAAGAGTTTACTGAAGTTACATAGGGGTGAAAGGCTTAACGTAATCCAATGGCATACTTCTTTCTCTTCTGCTGAAGATGTCAAGGAAAGAATAACCTCACTTTAGTCGACAAAAAAGACTGATAACAATGAACTCTGCGTTTAGGCAATGGAAACAGAGTTATCTAGAGAGCCGATGCTGAGATAACATATGACGACGGTTTGATACCGAGGACATTTACGGTTTAATTCATGATATGTAACTTCTTATCTCACCGAAAACATGCCTAGTATACAGACTAACTCTAACCCTCCTGTTAATCTTTTGCTCGTGCATGTCACTATTATAACCTGTTATAACACAGAGCGTTTGTATGTCTTGTTTATATGCTAAACATCACAAAGTTAAGGATACCAATAATACATTGATCAGCATTATGATTTGAGTTTTTGGATGGAATGTCTTTTTATACAATACTGTAAATGATGAAACATTTGCCATTTTAGTTATCCTTGTTCAATTTACCGGAAACATAAACTAGCATGTAATGTGAAATTATAAGAATAGGATAAGGACAAAAATATCCGGATTATTATCATTTTATTGTTGTTTTGAAAACCTGTATGTATTATACTAGAATTAATTTGATTAACAAAATGTGAGATTGTCAATTTGAAAGATGTTCATAGAAAAACAATCAACTTAAGATCTTCTAGCGTCCTACCGTAATTGTCATTTTATCATATGTATTCCGTCTCTGCGTATTGCAGAGTTATCTTTTCTCGGGAGCAGGTATTGATTGTTACGTCACTTGTTTGTGAGAGTAACGTCATCAATTTTTAAGAAAACGACGCAATTTTCTCACACAAACCAATGACGTAACAATCAATACCTTCTCCCAAGAGAAGATAACTCTGCAATACGCAAGGACGGAATACGTATGTGTAAGTCAATAAAAATCGATGTTTTGATCATTTTTTACATGATTAACACAGTACACCTCAAATGTATACATTAAATACAAACAACATAATATATATTATTTATTTTAACAACAATGAATCAAATAGTTGAACCTAAATAGATGTTTTGCATTATAAGTTGTTCTAAACAAAAAGAAAAGACATGTTTGTGAGCACACGTAGACACACGTTATAATAGGGACTATCTTATACTCTACAAATAGTAATACGAATAATCATGATATATTTTACTCATGAAGCAACAATGACAATCAACAAAAACGATGCATTCTCGAAATTCCAGAGGTTACACACACTTACCTTATCTGCACCTCTGGAATATGTCATGTCAAAATTGAAAGCATGAATTCAGCTATTTGATTGGTTTCAAGTAAAAAAAACATTATCGAGAGGAGAGACATGCTATGAATGATTCTGGCTTAATCCCCATCAGAAAATATTGTTATCCGTTTAACTGTGTGATAGTTGTTTGTAGAATTCAATCGGCAAGAATTTAGGAAGCCATTCTTTTACAAAATTGAAAATATAAAGATTTCCCAGTGTACGTGACCATGACAAGTAATATAAATAATTCGTATTTGTTTTGTTGGCTAAATATGAGATTATTAAATATCGAAAAGTGTTCGTTCAAAATTTACTCCTTTCAGTGATTGTAGAACGAGAACGAGATTGTAAGAAAAAAAAGGTATGTTTAGAAATGATAAATAAAATATAAGATATAACTAACTAAGTTATATAAAATTGTGTTAATGTCCATATGCCCTGCTGTGCGGGGGAAACTGTCACATGTGTTTGGTTTTAGGGTGAAAATAGAAATAATACATAATGCGTGTATAGTAAGATTGATTGACAAGAAGAAGAAGAATTGTGCTAATATACCTTAACCGATTTTCCTTTTTTTTAAGTATTGGTAATAAAAGTCTTTTAGTTATCAATTTTTTGTTGTCATTATCTTGAAAAAAACACATTTATATTTGTTTAGTTTTTAAAAAGGGTTATCCGAAAATAATTTGTAATGATTCACCGGAAATTTTCTATAGAACATACAGTGTATCTGGTATGCTAATCATATTATTGTTGACTATACCATGGCATTTCTGTTACAAGTATCAGTAATCCACTTTTGACATTTAAAACATACAATGTTATTTAATGTTGTTTAAGCAAAACAGTGAATATAGACTGTATTATTGCACGCGAACATTAGTGCGATATAAGAAAATCATCCCAACTATTTAGGGGATAGTACGTTGTTTTGAGTGGCTATACTGGCGATTATAACATGAAATTTGGTTTAAACTCTCGACCTATCGGTCTCGAGTTCAAACCCAAATTTCATGTTCTAATCGCAAGTATAGCCACTCAAAACAACGTACTATCCCCATTCTAACACACCTTAACAAATATACTACGCTAATATGTTTAGAAACATTGTATTTCCTTGTACAAAAGTACGTAGTAAAATACTTTGTGACCTGAACTAGCGACGTGTCAATCTGCAGCGGACTGACCAATCGGAAAGAAGCTTTCAAAAGTCGGTCATTTGGCCCCGCCCATACTGGCGAGCGCTCGATCTGTATGTTGACGAGACGGAATATTTGGATTGTTCGTGAACGTAGAATACGGGTATGACATCGACTTACGACTTGCCACTTACGACTTATTTATGTAAAATCCCTCTTTGATTGATAAACTCTGTACATTATAGTAACCTACTGTAATATCCATATCTTTGATTTCCCATATTTACATTGATTTTACCAAGTTACTCACCAGTTTAGTCACCACTGTTCAGTCACCATCAGCCCACCTTCGCGGTCCTCGTGCACAAGCCTCGTTTTGGTAGGTCGGCAATAATCTACTAGGATGTCGACATAAATAAGTCGTAAGTGGCAAGTCGTAAGTGGCAAGTCGATGTCACACCCGAGCATTAACACGATAAAAAGCCGAGTTACCCACTTACGAGATAATTATCTCGGCAAAATTATCTCGGCAAATGTGATAATATGTCGACATAATTTAACAGTTATGTCGACATCTTCTCAGATTATGTCGACATATTCTCAGATTATGTCGACATCTTTCAATAATTATGTCGACATACGTAACTCGTAAGTCGCAAGTGGATGGCAGAAATATGCCACCATAGTCCTGTTACCGAAGTTTATACGACACATTTGGATTGATATTGACCAAGTTCTTACATTTCCATGTCAGTATACATACCAATCTGTGCTTATCGACAAAATCGGCCATTATTTGTATAGATTTGTAAAGAGTTTTGTGTAAATGCATACGACACATGTGAAATGTTTCATTAGATTTGGGATCTAAATATTTGCCTTCATTCGGATGGAATGAACGTTTCAGTAATAAATGGAGGTAAGACCAAGGAATGAGTATTTTTTAATTCATTTAACAAATACATTTCATCGGTCGTTTACTTTCTGTTCTGTTGCCTGCTAGCCTTATCAGCGGGATTTCGCTAAGAGGCGAGCTTGACGCCATATTGCTTTGGTTTGAAACGGGGCGTGGCTTAAGTGCGATGGGAGGAGCTTAACACGATTGATCATGATTCTATCGCAGATTAAAACATGGTCAGTATCCAATCAAAACACGCGTTGCAAACGAATTGTGTTAGAATCAAGAAGAATATTGGAAGAACAACGTCACGGATTGGTTAGCGATAATTGGAGCTAAACATTCATATTTGTATCAATTCGGTCGTTAAAAGACACCTGAAACATTAATTCATTACATCGGTATAGGAAAGTGTAAATTACCCTTACTAAAGTATCCTCATGTAGCAGTGTACAGTAGCTTACGGTGGCCATGTGTGATATCTGTGTACAATGAATAACCCCTGTAATTTTAGATGTATGAAAATTAAAAACAAAAATCAGCACTGAAATTGGCATATACATGATGAAGTGGACAATGTGGGTTTCATAATTTTTCAAAAAATAATCGAATTTTGTTAGAGACTACAGTTTTTGGGCATTTACAATTCTGTGTCTACAGAACAAAAGCTAGCTTTTCATGTATTTTTCTTTTTTGTACTCGGCACATGTGTAAATATTGTGAAAAATCCACCGGAATAACCTATGCTAAAACGTGAGTATTTCTGTTACTGAGTAGGCGATATCTTATTTCAGACAGGTTTTAAGAAAAAACATATCTACTTGCGGGGGTCAAATTCTGGGATAAAAAATCATTCGTTTTTGCATTTTTTGATGTGATGACCATGGTTTTCACAAGTTCTAAATCTGAGGAAAACAGTTTTTGAAAAAGAATTCAGTCTTCTAAACAAAATATATTTAAAACAAAGTTTATAAATATATATATATATGTATTTAGGTGTGTTGTACAGGTTGAACCCACTATCCATGTTTATCTGAGACATGCCTTTTATTTTAAGGATCAGGCCATTTATCGGTTTCCGCGCACCTAAGAAGCAGTCGCGATTTCGTACTTATACCGGTAGAAATCTGTTGAAATTACAAATGACTGTCATATACATGTACACAATCTACTGATGGAAACAAAAAAGAACTTGCAACACAAAACCGGTTTTTTTTTTTTTTAAAAAGGAACAATCAATTTAGCCGTCATATGTTTCCTTGTGTCTATTTTGATTACGTGTTCAAAGAAAGATAACTCTAATCCACAAAAAATAAATTCTCCACAGTGGACCGCACAAACAAACGCTTCGTTTGGTATAAAAAAAAAAATCACTTATTGTCAAATTACATATTTCAGCTCACAATCTTTTCTATTTATTTAGTTACAAGAAATTCTGTCATTGGTTTTTTGTGCAGTCTTATATCGGTTTTGGTTGATGGTAAGTTATTTCTCATTTTATTCTGTTAAAAATTGGTGAAAATTGGAAGTTCATTGCATTACAGGGCTTACGTTTCATTGCAAACAGTGATAACGATATAAGATTGTCTCCTTTGCTCTAATTCGGAGTTGGAAAAAAATGGCAAGGAGATGTGGCCTCATTTGCATTAGACATTTTCGTACGTTTGTCAGACTACAAAAAAGACAGGTTTATAAATGAAATATATCACTGTTTTTTTCAGGTATGGGTTCATTTTTAGCAAGATAAACAGATTTACAGACGATGGCCAATCGTCTAAAATGTCCTTGTGTAGTGTCCAGTAGGTCACGTAGTAACGAGATATAGCTTGATTAAATGGCTGCGCGAAACTAAATAACGCGCGGAAACCTTATTACTAGACGATATGTAAGTTGTTGTTTTTTGCTGCACGAGAATACACAGTAGAACCGATGATGCTGTCAGATGATTTGTAGTCCCTAAGACAAGATTTGGTTTCCGATCAGCTCAAACTTGTATAAAAAGAGACTTCTTATCAAGGGACAGAACTCTAGTTGAAAACTGACAAAATAAATAAAGAGAGGTAACTCCAAGAGATTTGATAACCCAATTTAATCACGATTTTATTAAATTAATTTACATTGTAATTGGAGGATCCTGAAGAAAACTTGTCGTATTGTATGATCTGACAAAAATATATGTATCCCTGTCATAAGACTTTGTGAGTATGTAATTAACAATTCACTTTTGCTGACTACGCGAGTGATTTACAATAACAGCTCAGGCGTAAGTATAAATATAAGTAATAAACAGTGAGAAATTTACAATATTTAAGTTTAAAGAAAAAGATAGTTAGTTTATAGTACACAAATATAAATATAAGGGAATAGCAATACAAATGTATAAAGTGATTTGCATTACATAAGTATAAATGCAAGTATTAGTCATTCATATAAATGAGGTATAGTAAATAAATATAAATGAGGTATAGTATATAAATGTAAATGAGGTATAGTATATAAATGTAAATGACCTAAAGTACATAGATATAAGTGATTTACAATACAAAAGTATACATTTAAGTGATTTGCAGTTTTTTATGCCAAAAGTTTCAATTCACTTATTGCTTTCATCGATCTAAGATCAAAGGAAGTGGACGACTAGATCTGTTGTTGCTGTAATCACTCTCACTGCTTTAATAATGGTATACATTGTAATTGACTACTTCATTAGACAGAAAGAATACAAGTTATTGGAGGCAGCATTGATTAGTAAGAGTGACCAGCCCGGGGCTGCCATTATGAAATCACATTTCGATATATGTGGCTCGCTTCTCTGATACATGAACATAGCGTCGTTAGCTCTTTGTAGTTGTATATATTTGTGTTGTTTTTCTTGCAGTGGATGATTACTCAAAACGTCTAGTATAGTTTTAATCATTTGTAACATTGATCAATGAAAAACAATTTGCCACAATAAAGAATTTTTTTAGGAAAATGTCTTGAAGGTATGTATGAAAAGCACCTTCCTTATGAATTACAACAAAATGGAAATTTGAAAAGTAACACCTAAGCATCCTGTAGTATATCATTCATTGTGCATTTTCTTTGCAAGTTTATCAGACCGAGCTTTGTTCCCACATCCGACTTCGGCTGCATGAGTCTACATATGCGGTACAGTTATCAATTAGTTTTGCTGTCTTTATGATTTCTATGGAGGATCATTATGCACCGTGAATGCGTTATTTAATTCAGAAAAGGAGGACAAAATTGAAAAATCTGTTACTTTAAAAAGCAACGAATTGTCATTATTTTGCGTTGAAGTCTCTTTGTCGATTATCCTCATGATCATATAGCCATAGTTTCGTATTCATATAGCCTTAGTCTCGTATTCATATAGCCATAGTATCGTATTCATATAGCCATAGTCTCGTATTCATATATCCATAGTCTCGTATTCAAATAGCCATAGTCTCGTATTCATATAGTCATAGTCTCGTATTCATATAGCCATAGTCTCGTATTCATATAGCCATCATGATGACGCCGTGAGCCTGCAACGTATAACGTAATATAAACAAAAACAATGGGTCTAAAAGCAAATGACATATTCATATAAACCATTGGTTATATATATAGGATCTTAAATGAGATTTCATTTCATATGAGATTTTATGAAACGTGTTTTAGGAGTTTTTATTTTTACGAGCCTTGTCGAATAAAAAATAAATCTTCGAGACGAGTTTCATAAAAGCTCATATGAAATGAAAACAAATTTAGGATACATTTAATCACATAACTCAGAAAACTTACATTTTGACAGGTTTTAAAGCCAAAATGTACAGGGCTTAATCAAACGGAGACAGCCATTTTGTTTCGCCAGTCACAATTTATGAACTCATGTCACTGTCCATATTAAGACATCACAATCGATTTCTGACTGGCACAGCCAATGAAAAACGCTCCAGGGTATATTACATTAGTGACATATGTAAAAATATTACACGGGCGAATTCACTGGATAATAGGCAGATGATGTGATAAAAGAAAATATATTGTACATGTATATGTAGGAAGACTTTCTTTGATATTTAAAAATGCATCGCCTAGAGTGAGATCTGTTAATACAGAAACAAAGATACGATCATATTTGATCTTATTAAGCAAGCTTTCTTTGTAGAACGGTATTTCTTTCCATATTTAATTTTGCGCTTTGTTACAAGTTATGTGATTGGTCAATAGTAGCACATGCGATCCAAAGCGACAGCTATCAATATTAGTATGAATGACAGTCTTTTCCATGGGATGACTTTTAAGATTTTTCCAATTCCCCAGTTTGTATTAAGCCTTGTCGTCCGAGTTGAAACAACTACATAAACCAAACTCACTGTGAAAAATATTTCTAGATCTACTGTTTATTATCATTTTATTATTATTGTATTTGCCTGGTTGTTTTTTATTAGTTGTAGTATTATAATTATGGAAAATAAAAAAATTGAAACAACCGAAGACTACACCATTTTCACAACAGTGACACAATCATACAAAGCTCAAACTAACAAGGTATGTGGAGGTCTCATAAGGATTTGCGCACAGCGATAAAAATAGTGACGATATAGAGAATTGATGTGGGCGATTCTAACATTGAAAAGTGTAAACAGAGATGACATTACTTACTCGCATGTTCATGTCATGGATTTATAGAGAGGCCGAGACTATCAACAACCGAACCGCGAAGGGTGCGGGTTTGGAATGACGACACTAAATGTTCTTCCAAACGACCTATCCAAATGAATGTTCTCAAGAAACAAACCACGTGACGAGTCTAACACTTTCCGTTGCAATTTGTCAAACGCTTTGTCAAACGTCGTGTCAACTCCGTTCTGTCCGTGCTCCCGAATAATCATCTTTTGAGTTCACATTTACACCTCGTTACACTGTTGAAAACTCTCACTATGCATACTCGCCTATGCTATATCTCATTCGAAACTATACCACTGTTTCTTCAACGTTTTTCTTAACAATGTTGCTCAAACCGAATGAAGCGGTCGTGGGAAATGTTTCTCATGGACTAGTTTCGAGATCCCCGAAATGACGTTGCGATGTTACGTTATATTAATACACGAAACAGGGGTGCCAATATAGGCCTTTTGGTGGCTATCACCGATAAGTTGTTTTTTTATATATACATACCTTCGATTTATGCCGTTATGATATATGACATGAACTTAAGGTCAGCTTGGAGACCATTACGAGAGCTGAGGGAATAAAGTGGGGGACAAAAATCACAAATGGCCTACTTTTTACAAACTTGCATGTTGTTTTCTTTATATTACATTATTTTGATATATTGTGTAACACTAAAACTGCATATAATAAAAATGACCGGGAAAAAAATAAGAAAACATTTGATAAATATGTGACCTTGTTATATATCTTAACCAGATTTCAAGGTTGGAGGGGATACTTTCGTCAATCATTTAAAAAAAAAAAAATACTCTTTTCCAATAACATTTTTTTAAACTGTAAGGCCCAAATTGTTACCAATCTTTTATGAAAGAAAAAAGTTATCTAAATTATGTTTTTGGTTTTCCTTCCCATTGGTAGTGATTTGGAATAATAGGGATTGAATCTGAATTTTTCAATTTTCATGCATGCATGAAGATGTAAAATTAACATATACACCACATGCAAGATCAAAGAGCGTTGCGTGGATACTGCAACTGTCAGGAGATGTCTAACGTAAAGATGAAAAACGGATAATTCTAGCAAAATTCGAATGAAAATGAAGAACGCCAATATGACACTTAGAACATTAAATTGTGTATTGAATTGTGTATCAATATCTACTTCTCGGACAAATTTCTCCTATTCTTCTTTTTTGCTTTTACTTTACATACAAATAATTAAACACAAAGTGAGATGTGACTATTCCATTTTTGTTCCCCAACGTTTTACAGAATATTTCATATGACAGTTATTCTCAACTTTGTTTTAAGTCCTCAGAAAATATTCGAAACCTTGGACACAGGCAATGAATATATTGTTTTGCAGTTTTCAAGCGTTTCCTCGTAATAACGGTTGATAACGGTCCTAGTTACAGGATTAGCATTTATTTACAATAAATCGCATGAGATTATTAGAAGTATCCCTAATTTACGGATAAGAGAGAGAGTGTCAGGTTTTAAGACACATTTTGTACCCTTCGGATTGAGATTTCTTTATATAATTCAAAAGTCGTGAATGTTGATTTTCCTTCTCTCCCTATGAAGGTCTTCTTTCGGCAAATGACAACTGTACAGCTAATTTATGACTTGATAGGAATTTTGATTTATTACGTCATACTTTTCGTCACTTCTGGTTGAGAGATTGTACTCCTACACCCGTTTAAAATATTATTCTGAACCCTTGCTTAAATTTGAAGTGAGATTGCTTAATCGAGCAGTTGCACTGTTATGGCAAAGTGGTAATAGGAATTTCATGTAGTTCAACAATTAAAAAATATTTTTTTACGGGTTTTGTTGACATCAAGTGGAAAGAAATATTTGTAAAGGTTTAAAACAGCTAGATTTAAATCGAAGCGTGGTTTTTACAGGTACCCCAGCTCCCAGAATATCTAAAAAGTTTGAAACAAATTAATGAAACAGCCTGAGATATGCTGTGATAACCTGTATTACGCTGTATTTTAGTACTAAGTGTCAAGGTAAAAGGTGGAATTGAGGTCGCAAAGAAGGTGTCTTTCTACTTTAATTAGACCTTTTCTTTGCCACTCTAGCCTTTCCTTTTCACCATCATGATACTTTTTCGAAGTGGAGCTTGGCGTCTATCGCGGTAGAAATATTTCCAGTTCATAGAAGCTGGCACATCGATGCCCTGATCCACTGTGTGAAGCCCGTTGAGATTGACGGAATAGCAGTTTTTGTACCACCATCCTCCTTTACCAAACTCGGCACAATGACGAGTTGGGCTGATATCATTGTCGCTGTCGTAAGTGGAGAAAGCCCGAGGACTTGGTCGAATAAAACTTTCTTCTGAAATGAAGAATACAGCACCAAACTTCCCAAAAATGCATTTAGATCATCAACAATGTAGCACACAGTCAATAATGAGTTAGATGATAAAAGAAAGAAATTAGAAGAAATAAGAAGGCATCACATTACAGGAAATATGATACGTTTAATGGCAAAATGGATAGGGGAGGGGGAGAAACCAACCATTTACTTTTGTAATTGAGAATCTCGCAACTATACTAGTAACATTATTCCAAATATAACCAAAGAAAATGGGACAATAATATCTGACCAAACTGAAATTTTAAAAGAAACTGAAAATTACTACAGAACCTTATACAAAGAACGCAATTCACTTAAAAATGATAATCTAGAATTACTTCTAGAATCATCGACTGTACCCAAACTATCTGCCAATGAATCATTAAATATAGAAGGCCCACTTACTATAAATGAATTAACACTTTTAAAAATGAAAAACAGCAAAAGCCCTGGTTCCGATGGTTTTACAGTTGAATTTTTAAAAATATTGTTATAAGTAAATTAATCAGTAATACTCAAACTGGCTTTATTCTTGGTTGATATATAGGAGAAAACACACGCTTGATTTATGATATTATGCAGTATACAGAAGATAATAATATACCTGGACTATTACTTTTAATTGATTTTGAAAAACCGTGTCACGGAATTTTATCAATAAAACTTTGAAGTATTTTAATTTTGGCCCGAACATTATCAAATTGATAAAACTTTTTCAAAATAATACACACTCAGCAGTAAATATAGGGGGGAATCTATCAAAAGTTTTCAATATAGATCGGGGCTGTCGTCAGGGGGATCCGATATCTTCATATATTTTCATTTTATGTGCTGAAATTCTATCAATAATTTTGAAAAATAATAAAAATATCAAAGGAATACTTATCATGGATTAGGAAATCCTCTTATCACCATTTGCTGATGACACGTCTGTTATTCTTGATGATTCAAAAAATCTTTAGATGAAACATTAAAAGCTCTTTAACTACTTTGCTAGTATTTCTGGACAAAAAAAAATGAACTTCTCCAAGACCCAAGTAGTATGGATTGGCAGCAAAAAGTACAGTGAAAACACTTTTACTACAAATGTTGACTTAAAATGGGGACGTACACGCTTCACCCTATTAGGCATAGAATATGATGTAGACCTACACAGAATTAACAAACTGAATTTTGACAAAAAACTTGCAAAACTGAAGTCTTTAATATCTGTCTGGAACAAAAGAATGCTTACACCAATTGGTAAAATAGTTGTTATCAGTACTCTACTAATATCTCAGTTTGATCATTTGTTTATATCGCTTCCCGATCCTGATGACTCATATATTAAAAAAATTAACAATACATTTTACAATTTTCTATGGAATGGTAAACCAGATCAGGTGAAAAGGGATATAATTATAAAAAAAAAACTATGGAGAAGGGGGGTGGGGTGGGGGGGGGGGGGGCTTAAAATGATACATCTAAAATCTTTCATAACTGCTCTTAAAGCAACTTGGATCAGAAGGATATAAAGTAAACTAGGAAATTGGGGTATTGTTGTGTAATCGTTATTTGATAAACAGAAATAAGCAACAATTGGAATTAAGAAATTGAAAGAAATATAAAAAAAAATGTAAAAATGTATTTTTGAAAAATGTTTAGATGCCTGGTATAAAAATATCAATGCCAAGCAAAATAAACAAACAAATATTAGTGAAAATCCAATATGGTTTAACAGTGAAATAAAAATAGATCGAAAAGTTATCTTCAATAATACATGGTACAAAAAAGGGGTTAATTTTATCCACAACATTGTTAAAAAAGATAGATCTTTAAACAGCTTTAAAAAAAAGTAACATTTGTGCTATTTTTTAAGTTATCACAGTCTGAAAATGTTTATAGTTCAGTTCATAAGGAAGAAATAATATTATGCTACCAAGTATACCCATAAATCTCAAGTTAATCCTAAGATGTAAGAACGGAGTTCGTGAAATATATACCATATTCAAAAATGAAGTTAAACCAACCGCCCAAAATAAAGATACGTGGAAAAATATATACAAATATCCCTTCAATACCTGTACCAGTTCAAAACTACAATGGTTACAATGCAGAATAAATCAGAGAATCCTAACCACATTTTTTTTTTTATTTCAAATTGGTAAATGAGATAATAATATGTGGACTTTTTGTTAACCTCATCCAAAAACAATAACACATATATCATGGGATTGTGAAAAGGTATTTAATTTGATAGAAATATAAGAATTATTATTATTACTAAAATCTTGGTCTTCGATTTGATAAAAAAAAGAATTTATCTTTGGCAAGCAAATTAATAAATATACAAAGTTCATCTTGGATAACTTGATATTATTCACGGTAAAACAATACATATATAAATCAAAATGCCTTGAAATAGAACACAATCTGAATGGTCTAAAAAAAATCATATCAAATTCGAATTAAAATAAATTTAATTTAACATCTTTCTGACCTAGGTTTCCCTTGCCTTTGCTTTGTCCCACATGTCTTGTCCTTTGTCTTTTGTGTGCATTTGATTTTTGTTTGTATACCTAATGTCACGAATACCATTTATTTATTAATAATTTATTTATATATCAATGTGTGTGGGTATGTAACTGTTAGTGTAGGTGTGTCCGTGTTTGAATTCTTTTTTGTCTTTGTATATAGGATTAGCAGCAACTCTTAAGCTTTAAGAGTTTAACCAACAATCATGTACCATATGTTTTGTATCATGTCATGAAAAAAATGCAAAGGAATAAATAAAAATTGAATACAAAAAATACTGTTTGGTGATAAAAATTGTGATTTCACAGACTGACTAAAATGATTAGCTTTTCACAATTCCATACGATAAGCGAGACGGTTTCGATTTTCCTATCGTGAGTTTTCTTTTTCTTAATAGTAACATCCTGGCTTCAAGAACCTAAGTTGGTTGCATGTGGCAGTTGATTTGTTATTCAATAGCTTAATCCAACTATCATGATTTCCGCGAAAGAAGTCAACGGCTTATAATATCTGTACAGTGTAGTGCACTAGTCATTCCTTAAAGCATACTGTATTTATTACCGACTCTTAAAGTTGCCATCTCTTGTGTTTCTTACGTTCATCGTTCCTAATACGTAACTAGTGTTTAGCAACTATACTTATGTGATAGAAAGGGAAGAAGCAAATACCGAATTGTCAAACAAATCATTAAGGAAGCACTGACCAAGTGTACAAAGATAATAAGTCCAGGCCTCGGCTGTTCAGGGCCTAATTAGCTTAAAAAGACATAAATTGAAATTTCAAAATGCAAATTTTAAAAGTAACTAAGTCATCTAGATATTTTTGTGTTTGCTGTTTTCATATACATATAACTGTGGTTTTGAACTTCAATATTTTTGTAAATATTCTACTTTAAAAAAAATCGCTTTAAGTTCCATCTTAGCCAATCAATCTGTGAACCACTTGGCCCTGGCGTTCCAGAATGGTAAGCGTCTTCTGTTCCATTTACGAAACCTTCCATGTTCATCTAGGTCAAATTATATAAATTTTACGTCCTTACATCTAGAACTGGGGTAGTGTCAGCTAAAGCCACACTTTTGATGATAATCGAAACTATCGACTTTTTTAAGTACTTAATACATCGACCTTCACACCACACAAAGAGACAGTATATTTCCAAATGAGATAATTTAAGTAATTTTACAAAGTCAGATAACACTTAAATCTCACTTTAGATTATCTGTCTACCGTTATCAAACATTTTAATTCAAACTCTCGTCAAGGTTAACTATACAACCAACTACTTACCAACATTTCCACTGAATTCTCCGAGAGTTAGCTGGTAGTTTGATGTTTCGTCCCCAATGACGAAATTCTGATAAGACGCGTATCCTGTGGTACCATCCCATCCCTCAAGGTGTATATACAGCTGTTGTCCCAGGCTGAGAAGACTATACATATACTCTAGACCTATTGGTGTCGATACGGGAAGGAACAATGACAAAATTAGCTCCATGTCAGTATTGTACATCATTGACATTTTTGGATGTCAATTCAAATAAGTTTCGTCCCAAAAATAAATCAAATATTCGCCGAGATAAATTTTAATTTCGACTTGTTGAGAAAGTCATGAATAATACATAAATTGAGGATAAACTTGGTTTCTAAATGAATAACGGGTGGATTTTGCGAGTAACGTAATTTTTGTTTCTTTCAAAACTTTTATAAAAACATTTGCTTCCGTAAACAGATTATCTATCACCCGCCACTACTGACATAGGGTATACTGTATTGTGACGTTAAATGAGAAAAAATCCAATTTTTATTACTTTTCTCACTAACTTTCTACTCTAATAAGTCGGTATTGTGTGTCCCAGTAGATAACGTATCTTTTTTTCTCACTGTAAAACCTATATCTCACTGGCTAAATGGAAATAAATTGTTTTAATTGATGACATAAAAAAATAACACAAAAACTATCCGGACTGGTTTTACATAAATTTTTTCCGTATCTGCTAAGAGTTCAAACTTGATGTTTGTATGATAAAGCTGATTATCTGCTATTTTATTTAGTAACTCAGCATAAACTATTTACTATGACCTCGTTATTGCATCCTTACTTACCTAACCAGTGTTCACCATCAAGGTTTCCAAATCCCCATTTGTATTCTTCCCAGTTTCGATAAAAGTTGACGGAACCATCAAATCTTCTTTGAATCACCTTTCATAAATCATAAAAATACCATTGCTGCAAATGATTTCATGAGTGTAAAACCCCAGCAAACGGACACATAGTGTATCCAATGAAACGACTATTACAGCAAAAGGTTTATTTAAAAGATGCAAGCTGCATTTCGTATTTTACCTTTAATTTGCTAAGGGAATATCTTCTTTAGAAAAAAAGCTACATATATACCGTTGTAGTCATTTAAAGATAAATGCCTTTTTTGAAATATATATGTTGCTTAGTAAGACTTAAGAAGATTTTTGACAATGGTTACTCACACCTTCAAAGTACTGCTCACCTCACCAACCATTCACACTCGTGTAATGTTCACGACACAGGTTTCACACTTAGTACTGCTCACCTCAACAACCATTTACATACGTGTAATGTTCACGACCCAGAGTTCACACTAAGTACTGCTCACCTCAACAACTATTTACATACCTGTAATGTTCTCGACCCAGAGTTCACACTTAGTACTGCTCAACTCACCAACCATTTACATACGTGTAATGTTCACGACCCAGAGTTCACACTTAGTACTGCTCACCTCACCAACCATTTACATACGTGTAATGTTCACGACCCAGAGTTTACACTTAGTGCCAGGATAATAGATACAAATGTACAATGTACGTCATATTGATCAATAAACTACATATACATGGTTTTCTACCAGAAAGACTTCCATTAACGCTGAAGGCGTTATACTGTCACACATTGATATGATCTCAGAGAAAACATTGTTGATCAGCTGATTCAGCCTCCGATATTTTGTTATCGTTCTTCATTTGGAAAAGATATACATGTGACGACAAGGTAATTTTAGTCGATAATAGTGATGTAACACGCTGCTTAAAGCTGCGTTCGCTTCACTGGACATAGACAAATATTGTATTATATTGTATTGTACAAAGACAGTTTGTATGTTTTTTCTATCATTTTGTACATGCGGTCGTTTTAAATTATCTAAATATGCATACAGTTTTTTAAATATCCTACATTTTACATCCAGAGTTAAGACCAATTCTTACAGCTGTGTGTCTTGAAATACTTGGTTTGATGACATAGTATAAAAACTCATTTCAAACTGTAGAAAAACATGCTTCCTGTAAATGTCGAGGTTAACGTTTTCTTACTATGTCCTACTACAACGTAAAAGGTCTCTAATATGCTCCAAAAGAATTTGATATGTCTTTTTATTATATAACTCCCCTGATATGCATTGAATACACCCATCTCATATTTTTTCAAATTAACTCATCTTACATGACATGGAGCGATTTCGATTGGTTGACCTCATCACACTTTCCCCGATAGTAAATTACTCCGCACTACGTCACGTACAATGAAGTAAACATGGCGGACACTAAATTTCCAGTTGGTTCTAAAGTTATCAGAACATGGCAAAATCAATGCTGTTGTGAGGAAAGTTTAGGAGGCAGCTGCGGGTCCTGTCTACATGGTAAACTTCGAGAATATGGATTTCGAAATTGACCTTTAAAGTGAACGATTGTCAGGTAGGCCAGTATAATGAAATGTTAACACTGAGCAGACGACCAATACAACCGGTAACGTAACTGTCACCGGTACTTCCACTAAATTTAAGTCCATGTCGGAAAGCGATAAAGAACACTTTGTCCAGGCACAAGACAAAGCATTAGCATTCATCAATAATCTCTCACATCACTTCCCAAACCAGTGAAACGACGTAGGATTATCGACTCGGACAGCGATAGCCAGTATCAGTGTACTGTATACGTAGCTGTTGACACCTCAGATTCCCGCGTAGTGTGACGCTTTGGAATGTCACGCTCTTGACGTAGCGTGAATCGTGTGACCTTGTTCAGTTTTGTTAAGAATTCTCTCCAAATTTCAGCTAAAGCTCTATACTTGTACAAAGCATTGAAAAAATGGAGGATTAAATATTCATATTTATCCTTGTTGTTTGAGTAATTTTTTAAACACTATTTGTAACTATTTGTTACAGCGCAGGTAGATCTGACCTACATTTTGATAGAAGTGATTCGGACATATCAATACAAAACAGCTGATGAAATAACGGACGATGCAATTGTTTGTTTTAACAAATGAAAATACATTGTACAGTATCTCAGTTATGTGATAAAAAGGATCTTACACTCGTTTTCATGTCATGTGAAATTTATGAAACTTTTCACGGACTTTTTCATTTTAGATCGCCAGAGCCTCGCTAAAATGAAACATTCTTAGAGTCGTTTCATAAATCTCATATGACATGGAAACTCATGTAAGATCCTTTTTAATTTATGTCATCTGATGAGGCGAGCATGAGAACACCAAAATAGATAGTCTGCACCCAATCTAATACAACAGATATTTGTTTTGCATTGTATGCCTTTTCGTTTCATTGTCTCACAAGCAACACATATCTAGATATTTTGCCAATTATTTACTGTTAATTCCTTTATGAACTTGGCGTAATGATTGGCCGCTACGATTTGAAAACAGTTTCTCAGTTCGTTATAATAATAGTGACATAATGAAGTAAGATCGCTTACCGTCCAAGGACCCCCGGTTGTTTCTGTATCGCAAAACACATCGAAAGCTGTTCCCGGTACTGGAGTAATTCGATGGACGCCAGAACAGTCAGTGCAGCATAGGTCTCCACAGTCGGCCAAATCTTCATAAAGACAAAAGCAATTGAGCTGTAGTGCAAAAACTAGTTTCTCCTTTTTCTTTCTCTTTCTGTTGACTTTCTCCGTTTTCATTGCTATTTTTTTTTTCCTTCTTCTTTTCTATTCTCTCTCTCTGTTCTCATAAAGGCAATATATGTGTACATGGGTACCAGTACATGTACTTGTGTCTAAATATATCAACTGATGTAAGTAAGAGTAAATATGAGTCGTGTGAGGTCTGAATATATAATATGAATTGTTTGAATGTAAATATACCATATATTGCAAAAAAATCTTGAATAAAAAGAAAATTACAAAAAAAAAAAAGACAAAAGCAAGCATTACTTGTTGAACAAATGAGAGTCACGGGCAAAACATGTTTGTATGAAGGAACAAAGCAGTAGAAAAATATTATTTTTAATATCTATCTCATTTAAATAATTTCATACTAACTTTCAGTACTTTTCAACCATTTGACAGAGTATCAGTTTTTATAATTACAAGTACTAGTATTATAGTTGTCTTATATCAAGGGATTTGTGCTATGCTCGTAAACTTAAGAGAGTTATGGAATTATGATTATACTCTTCACATTTCTTATCGGGGAAAATTCTTGCAGTGAATCATGACGTCACAATAGTAGATGAAATAGTAGCAAAACATTGGAACTTAACGTTTTAAGTCAAAGATACTAATGAAATAATGTTAAGAGTGTTACCCACTTGTGGGTAACCAAATCTGTTCACGAACACATAACAGGCTCACCCAACGAGTCAGACTGAGAAAACATAAAGTAGTCGTGGGAGAAATATAGATCATAATAATAATCACGAGAGAGTGGGAACAGCCTTACCCAGGCACCTCGATCTTGCCACATTTGTGTGACGATGAGCGTGTGAGTATGCTGGAAGTGTGATAGGGTTCTGTTTGTGGTGGGTTAGTTATGATTTGTGAACCGCTCTGAGACGACCTACGATCTAGGTTGTGATAAAGCGGTATATAAGAATCACGATTTGTTAGTTTTTAGTATTTCTTAGTATTTCCAAGTCTCAATGACAGAACAGAACAGTAGAAGTGTGCTATCTGAAACATGATTCTGACTATCTTACTATGTATCTGAGTGACGCATGCATTAATTTTTTTTCGAGCATATTCCGTCTTTTCGTATTGCAGAGTTATCTGCTCTTGTGAGAAGGTATTGAATGTTACGTCATTTGTTTGTGTGAGAAAATTACGTCGTTTTCTCAAAACATTATGACGTTACTCTCACAAACAAATGACGTAACAATCAAAACCTGCTAACAAGAACAGATAACTCTGCAATACAAAGAGACGGAATTTCTGGCGAAGGAAGTCCGATTTCCGAGTTTTATATTTGTGTATAAGAGTGTTTATTTTATTTAGGCAAAGTTATTTTTGGTAATAAAATGATGACAACGGAAGCGAAGAATCAGTTTCAAAGCTTGTAATATGAATACATTGTACCCGAGTGAAGCCATGTGGTTCTGGTAAACATTTTAGGCACGTGCAGGATATCAAATCCATTACAATCGAAAGATATGTGAAGATATAATCTTTTTTAATCCGGCAAGGAGCAGAAAGGCAGTGACGTTGAGAGTTTTATGACCAACGTCAGAAAGACGTACGTTGCATCTATATTTTGGAGAATCTAATGTATCCATGATTTGCCACTTTTGTGATATTTTACTCTTTTTTTTAAAGATGTAACCCTATTTGCTATTTTGATAAATGGAAGATATTTTAGCTAGTGAATTGAGAGATATGTACAATATATCAATAATATAATGGTTAGATGGTTGAGTAGCTGACGCGCCCCGGTAATTACCCATCTATTGAGTGCGGCTATGAGATAAAAGTACACGAAACCACACGTCCCCGTAGCATAGCCTTGTCTCTATGGTATAATCATAGGCGATCATGATAATGATGAACTTTTCAATTATGACAATCAATACATCCTTACTAAGGTGATAACTATAAAGTACACCCCACAGAAAAGGCTATACCGCGGGGACGTGAGGTTTATATATACTGTATCTTACAGTGATCTGTAGCACGCACTTCGGAGTAATGCATTATAAATTAATATGAAAAAAAATGAGCAAACATGTCCTTTTAAGCCTTGATTACGATATATTGGTAAGTGAAATGAGCTGTGACGATAAGCACATTGGTAATACATTATGGGATACATTTGCGTACGTGACTGAGACGTGTTTTGTACACGTGGTTAAAGATAGCTAGTCTGTAGTTTACAGTCATACTTGTGGCTATAGAGTTTTCTGGAACATGTTACTGAACCTTATCACAGGTTCTTTTATTGATCTTAATCTTATATTGTTAATTACTCAATAATCAACATAAAAGCGTGTATAATGGTGAATATGCAAGGCGCACTGTCCTTTTTATTGGTAGATAATTCCGTTGACGAGGGTGAGAAAATTCTTTGGAAAATATACCGAAGGCCGATTGCAGCCTGAAGTGATAATTTTTCTAATCCCAAGTTATATTTTCCACCATAAAATACAGACATAAGTTGATTATATCTATTCTACCTAGTGATAGTGAAGTTTTCGCGTGTTTTTGCGTGTACCTCAGTGTCCTTATAGGCCTATAATAAGCAAGCTGACGTAGATAAACAAGCTGTCCGAATTTATCATTTCTGACCCTGTTGGCAGTTGTCTTTTTTGTCTATTCAACCTGGACCTGGATATTTTATTCGGGAAGAGTTTTTCATTTTCAGTCACCTTTTTACTCGACAGACGAAAACAATTAACAGTGATCATGACGTCATGTTTTTTACATCATATGTTTGTTTCAATTATCTAAAAGCACCAATCTAGCGACATATCTCGCCAACACATGAAAATCAACATTTGACAAATTAACAAACACATTTCAAGTCACATTCGCGGTAAGTTAGGTGGAACATTTTGACGTTGAACTTGGCAGGTTTAAAGAAGACATAGAGGTTAAATAGAAATGGTTTTGTTCTCCCGGTGGCAAATCTTCAAATACATAAAAAATGAATAGTTATTTCCTCATTCGACAAACAAAACCAGTCACACAGCTCACTTGTTTACATTTGTGAGGGAGGTTTTTAGAAGGAATGAAATTGAATATTTATTTCCTCATTCGACAAATACAACCAGTCCCGCAGCTTTGCATTTGTAGGAGGAATCAAATAATGCATGGTTATAAACCAATGAAAAGTGCCGTTACATCGAAGACATGGTAGAAAGTTAATGTGCATGATATTACAACAGGAGAGGAAAAATGCACGGCCAGATCGGGGTTCGAACCCGGGACCTCCCGAACTCTAGACGGACGCTCAACCAATTGAGCTGTCTGGTCGCGGACGATCGACCCAGTCCAGTTCTGCTACATTCATCCCTCCTTTTTCTAAGTCTTCGCCCCGGAAGACACAACTATTTACAACCAAGGTTCGGGTATCCCCTTGCCAAGCATACACCATATTCTTGAAATAAGGGTTGGTCACAGGCACCAATGTAACAGAAGAGGAAAGATGCACGGCCTGACCAGGGTTTGAACCCGGGATCTTCCGATCTCTAGACGGATGCTCAACCAATTGAGCTATCTGGTCCCCGACGATCGATCCAGTCCAGTCACGCTACAATAGTGTCATTACAAATTTATTTATGACAGTGAAGTTGAAAAAACTTTATATCTCTGATAGGAAGTTTGGGGCGGATCTTCCATCCCGTTTGGCATTGATTGGCTCATTACCCTCTTGAATATCTCAGAGTTTGTTATCCCCTGAGATTTCAGAGAAACGTATAATAATAAAACAATAGTTTAATTAGCTATATCCACTTAAATTATTTAGGTGTTTTACGAGATGCTTTAAAGCTTTAATTTGTATGGATGCAAGATATGATAAGATATTTAATATACGTTTATTTTGAAAATTTATTCATTTACAAGGAAAAGCTGTCGTACAAACGGCAAGATAATTATTGAATATGAAGGAGCATATACAATGTACATGTTGTCAGTGTCTCAATGATGCATAGGCAAATTATTTTTTTTAATATCTTTCCCTGCTGTACATGTATTTCAATTAGAGAGCAGTGTTTAGTGTGAAAAATAGCATTGAACATTTCCAAAATTTCACTTAATAGACGATTGGCTATACATACATTGTAATTTCGAATCGGACCCGTACTAAACATTTGCTGTTTTGTCTCATAGAACAACCGGATGCGGGCAGATGTAACCGGAAGTAGGCGATATTGCCGAATACGGGCTGATATTTAGCGGTTATTGTATGACTGGCTTCATATCAGGTTTTCTTTTCGTGCTATTTTTAAGACTTTCAAAGAACGCTCATCTGTCTTCACTGACAATCAGTATAATCTCTGAATTCCTTTTATTTTCATTGATTACCTTTGCCTATAATACCTTTTTGTAAATGATTTATTTAAGCTTTAGTCGTGCAGGAAAAGTAAGTATCCAGTAGTACAGGGACCTATAAGATTAACCGTTGAGGTGTTATCGCAATTTTTCTGTACATGTAAATCTATGCATAACCAGTTGAGAAAGTATTTCCTGTTATGATAAGCTATTTTGGACGACATTTTATTTTTCAAAAACCTTGTCATATATGTATTCAGTAACATGTACTGTGATTTATAAGTGCCTGGTTCGGTTTTCTAATCTGAACTTGATCAGGAGTGAAACTACATGTTTTTTCACCGGATACGGAAACAGATTATCGGGAATGTGGTATCTTGAATACCCGATTTGTTGACGTAGTCAGGGCAAGTGGTGCACGGACAGTTGATATTGTTTGAATTATTTTTATTCTACGAAATTTGTGATAAAAAACCCGTTATGATGATGCCACTGCTTTTTATTATTTTCAATGATATCATCATTTGTTGTGTGTGCAATCATTTTAAATAGATATAGCTTTAAGACATTTTTTCCTAAATGAAAAATGTCTTCAATGAATGTTCTATGGAAGTTGTTAATATATATGTTTCCCTTTGGATACAGATAAAAGTTACGTAAATTGCACGACAAACTGCAAGATATCCACGATGTTACGGTGGATCGTCGTCGAATTAGAATAAATAATAATAGTCGGGTAAAACTGCTTGTACATCATGTACAAACGAATAACATAAAGAATTATTACGTAGTTATACCTACCAGAATAGGATCTTGACATCGTTATGGTCCTGTAGCTGGTCGTAAAATTTCCAGTTTCGTCATTTCCGGTCTCGTTATGGTTGTCGTTGCTATAAGTTGTACACATTTTTGTTTGCGTGTCGAATGAGACAGATACGCAATTTTGAGAGGCACAATTCACCGAGCACTCTATCATAGACCTCACAGCGACACTGTTCAGTAGCGATGTGTCATTGGAGGACATGTTTAAATCAACGTAGGTTATTGTGCATTGTAAGGAAGGGGAAACAAAAAGCCTTAACAGACAAAGGACGAGACATGTCCAGGATTTCATGTTTTGTAATCCAAACAGTTTCAAATATCTCCCCTTTAACGCAGATTTAAATATATCGTTATTAACTTTTATTACAGATAAAATAACCTTTCTCAATTTTCCATCGTCGATATCAATGACGAGAGCTCGTTTTTTATATATCAATACTCAATTTGTCTCAATTTCTTAGCATACCTCAATATATATCCATATCTCGCTGTAATACTGATCTCAGTATCTCGTCTGAATTTTTTTGAAAAGAAGAAACAATGTATTGATATTTAGTCTCAAATACTGATACTTCTTCTGATATTTTGTCTTTAATACCAAATCCCGCTTTCAGCATAGATCCCAACACACTTAAATGACACACTTGCAAAATGTATTCTTTTCGGTGATATAATTTTGTCAAACCATCCGGTTTTCACTCAACATAGACTGTCGTCTGTAAATCATCCAATCAAAAACAGAAACAAAAACATATAACATTGTTTCCCAATTAGCAGAGTCATACATGAACTTCGGTATGCTTCAATTCTTTGAATGTTTTTGATAAAACGTTTCTTGTAAGTGTTAAACGGTGGATTTGTCGTATTCTGTTGAACCACTTGTCAACACTTGATAGAATTCCAACAGTTTTGATTTCTAGGGCGTCAGTTATTCCGTGTGATGAAAGATAAAACATCTATGACAATAGAGCTAGTGTGTCGACACTACCGCTGTATATACGGACGTAATATCAAACAAGATCAATATCAACAGCAGATATAGATATTGACTATTTACCTGTAACCTATTATCAATGATACACACGTACGCTTGTTATTTGTTTATTTGTGTTTTACGTTTTATTAACAGCTATGGTCATTTGAAGACCTGCTGTGTGTGTGTGTGTGGGGGGGGGGGGGGGGGGGGGGGGGGGGGGGGGGGGGGGGGGAGACGGAGCTCCAGGAAAAAAACACCGACCAGCGGCCAGTACCTGGCGACTGCCCCCACGAAGGCCTCGAAACCCCGAACCAGTCGTGGAGGGATACTAGTATAGTGATTCAGACGGTCAGACTCCAAACACACGTACGACAAAAAAAACCACAAACAGTAAGATCAATTATCATGATTTATTAGATTTGGCACATAGTGGATCAATACAGCAAATATTTACAAAATACAACATGTACAAAAATTATGAAATGTCACATTACGATATCGAACTATTTCTTCCCTTGTCAGCTGTAACCCTCAAGATGATTGGTTCGGGACGCCAAGTCGGGAGAACTGCCAAGACCGTTTGTCATTGGCTGATATCTTGAGTAAAATGGCACTTGCTGGGTTGTTCGGAACATTGGTGACTGGGAACTCGATGTTGTTAAAGGAAAGTTCGGAATACTATCGTCTTTCATCAACTGTTCATGTTTGTTGTTGATTGTGTATGGAGGAGGGCAAGGTAATCCGAGTGCCTGTAACTGTGAAATATCAACGCCACCTGTCGGTATTGGCATTCCTCCGGTAAAGGCGTCATCTTTCTGTTTCCGCTTTTCCTTCATCCTTCTGTTTTGAAACCAAGTTTTCACCTGTTAAAAGAATAGATACAAAATAGTTAATATCAATGTCCTTTTTAAAAAATCAAAATCATTATAGATACGTATCTATTATATGAAAACCCCTATATCTACACTTATCACTCAACAAGGTGATATATATTACCTGGACCGCATACATGTAAATTAGTTATTTCTGTTCTAATACTACACTGTCCATTGACTTACTAAAATAATAACTTTGAGCAAATTTTTCATAAGATATGTATGCTCAATGTTCGTTTTATACACAATGAATAAATTAAAACAGGAAATTATGAAACTATACTTAAATACATGATAGTAGATAATTGGACCGTAATGCAGATTTATCAACACGTTAACATTATATGAAGCTGCTGCTTAGAAACAAAAACAGACAAAAATACAGATAAAGTGACTGCACGTGAACATGTACATGTAATGTAGGATAGTCGGAAATTATCATTACTTAATATTTATGCAGTTGTGCGCACATTTTGGTCACAAACATGTAGACGGAGTTGATATTTAGCAAAACTCCATATACGCACTTATCGAATGCATTTTTGTTAGCTACCATTAGTAGATATTACATTATCTTGTAGTTTCTGTAACTACTTGTGATAGATATAATAATATAGTTACGTGTAACTGTACAAAATGTAAGATATTGTAAAATATACTTAGGAAGTTTCCAAATGACATATCTAATATCTGATGTATGGAATCAGCACTGGATACGTTTGTCTTATTCGATTTACAAAAGTTTCATCTCGAAACTCCAGTTTATCCTCTTGATATCTTATAGTGTCGGTAAGCTTACCTGCTGGTCCGTGAGTCCGAGTTCTGTGGCCAGTTTTGACCGCTCCCCTGCGGGTAGGTATTTCCGGGATTGATACCTTACTTCCAGAGCCTGGACCTGATCATTGGAGAAGGCTGTTCTCGCCTTCTTTGGTCGAGGAGTTTCTCCGATACCTTCATCCGAATCTGTCAATAAATAACGTTCAATATAGGATACTTTATACATGTACACGTAAATTAAAAAACGAACGAAAGAGAAAAAAAATAACAAAAGAACCAACCAACCAACATATCAAAAAGCCTTTAAGAGAAAATACGAAAATATAAAATACACCATAGAGCTAATATCAATGGTGCTGTAACAAAATACAATCGATTTAGTTCTAGTTTAGGCAATATATAAATATGCCCAATTATTTAAATACTTTTGAAAGAGATATATTAGAAAAATATCTTTTACTATCAAGAAATATATAAATAGTTTAATTCTTAATACCAACAGGTTCGCCATTCATGTACATGTAGCAAACATTTGCCGATATTATGTATATGTGTCTCCCATTTCGAAAATAATGTTTATATAATTTTGACGTAAAAAAAAACCTTCAGCTACTTAAAACGTTAAAAACTAACCTGAAAGTGCACAAGTAGATTCGAAACTTGAATCGGTTAAATTTCCATTTGGTGTCTGTGCTTGAGATATTCTCCTTGCTCTTAGTTTATCAACCTCTGCATCAATGCGCTTTCGCTTCATAGAACTACCGGTAGAACAGGGAGGCGAGATGCTGTTCGATATATCCACATCATCGTCAATGCGCCTGCGTTTTTGACAACTTCCGGATACAGACGGCGTGCTGTTCTGTGAGGAATATCCGTCGTCGGGACTTAAACGAAATGAGTCTCTAAGATTTCCAATCGGAGAGCCAAACTGTACTTTAGGGATACACTGCGATGTTAATCCATTTCCGTTTGTGAAATATGGGCTGCTACAGACACTTTTAGTCCAATCTCCGAGATTCATGGCGTTTCCATCCTGCCACGGGTTTCTGTTGTAAAAATACGTTCCGTTACAGTCATTCGCTTGATTATCATCTGTACGACTGCTTTTTGCAAGATTCTCAATAGAAAAAGCCATTTTCTTGTTATTTGTCGTCGCCATTTTCTGTCACCTTAAATGAGCACCTCTGGTAAAATAAACTGTTCTGAACTTTGAGACCAACTCAACACAACTTTTCAGAAACTGTTGAAGTATAATCAAAAATAAATATCTCAAAGCGCCAGTACGAACAACATGGCAAGTGTTCACTCACTGAATGTCAAAACAATTTTGAACTCGAACTGTGAGCGACATTCTTTTTATACCCAGAATAGTTGCCGATGTAGCCTAATTGACACGTTTTGTGACCGTTTGTCACCTTGGCTGATTTGTGATGAGCTTAACAACACAAGCTCACTGGATCCTTAACAAACCTGTTCGGCTGTTGTTACAACCATCCATTGTTATCTTAATTAATTAGCCGGTGGTTGATATCGACCACTAATTGGGGTTTGAGAAATCCATGCACCTGGAGTCGTGAGGTAATTTGAGAACGTGTGAAAGCCGATTCGGGGCAATGGTGTTGTAACAGTGCGCGACCAGGCGGTAATTTTGAATTTTAATCATCATTAATTGCAATTGAGTTCAACACGTCACCCTGATCGTTCGCTAAAGGTAGTTAACACCGATGCTGAGCACATCGATATTACCTATTGAAATTGATATTTTGTGGTTCGCATTTATGTCAATCACTGACTGACCTTTTGTTTACCCCCTATAGGACATCATTTAACACATGTTTAATAGTTTGTATTATATTTCGCCGGCCAAGCTTTCGCTAGGGGTATGCGTTAATCCTAGCATTGATGGACACTATAGAATTAAAATCGGGTACGTTTCATCTAAATATTTAGATTTGTTTGAAAGTGGTGATAAAATCAAAAAGTTGTTTAGGAATCAAAGCGGCAAGATAATATATGGATTAACAACGGATTATCATTAGAAGACTCCATATTATAATGATGAGTTACAGGATTTAGATAATTCAACAAATTATCATATATAAATAACTCAAACGAAATCCTCAAAGACACAAATAGACATCAAACGATTCAACATCTAAAACTCATTTAAATCAATTTGATCGATGAGCGACATATTGATTGTATCCTCTTTACGTTGGTACATTGAGCAATGGGTTATTATTTATTTTCAGTTTTTATTCTGATTGTTTGTATATTTTTCTTTGTGTGCATTAGTTAATCGGCGGGAACAACCACTTTATGAACAAATTAAAAAATATGCATGAATTATAGGTAAAATGGCTAATGCATTGTCAATATCTCAACTACTTTGATTTCTGGTCAAAGTTCACTCTCAGCTATTTAAATGTACAAGTGTCATATATTATATACCATACTTGCCTGTATTTGTATTGTATTGCCGTGAATACATTATATTGTAACTAAGAAGTCGGAAGACTTATGTAATAAAACAAACCTTGAGGCGTGGAATTTATTGGGATCTTCAAGGAAATGCTTTTATAATGTAACTTAAAGTTACCTTACACAATCTGTCGGATAAACTGAGATTGAAATTAAAGTAAAAAAAAAAACATCAATTTTATCAGTATATTGGTAATTAGTATATAGATATGAAAAGATTCAAAATTCCAATTACTTATTATTTGTGTCAGGTACAGTAAGCGTGCGAAGCCTTTCCCCCCGACTGCTACTTATCTCACTGTGTACCATGCATAAGCGAATTCACGAGAGAAGAATCCAACGAACGGCAAATGTGTTTGACTGGGTCAGCGGTAATATTAACACAATAAAAGTGCTGATTTCTTAATTGATAAAGATCTTTTACGTCACTTGGTTTGCTCATCGACTTTATAAAAATCACTTATGAAGTGGTGTTAACAAAAAAACTGATCGTAATAGCAGAAAAAGCGTACCAAAATCGACAAGAAATATCGATATTTTGAAGGTTAATACGTGACATTATGGAAACCATCGAATTCTTTATGGCACGTAAGAAAATAAAAAATAATTTCTTTTTGTTTTATATGTTTGACACCTGTCACACCCTGAGTGCCTGTGTATGGTATTAACGGAAATTTAACTTTTGTTTTACATGTAAGAAAAATAAGAAATGCCAGTTTTATCTCCTGATAAAGAAAAGAGCGAAAATTAGCGGAATGGTACCTTTAATATTGATCTAGTGATGCGTATAATCAAATCGATGATATAAAATCGTCATGAAATATTCAATCTGAGATATGTTAATTCAACCATGACAAGATGCAGTTTAAGATTCATGGAACTCATTATATTGGTGTCAGGGTAATTGAGGATTTTCTCTCAATAATTATGTCACAGTAGTTTTAAATTCCAATTATCGCTAATTGCAATTGAGCTCAACACTTCACCAACATGTTGTGCTTAAGGTAGTTAACACCGATGTTGATGATTAGCTAATATTAATTATTTCCACGTCCGAAGAAAATGATCCGTGTTTACATCATGTAATATTATTTTTTACTAAAAAAAAATATTTCTATATTATTATTAACTTGCAAACTATCGTTTAATTACAAATAGAATATTTCATATTGTCAAAACAGATAGAAAAAGAAAAACGACGAAAACATGAATAAGTACGCATTCCTAAGGTACAGAACCATTCACGACTTTACAAAGGTTTTTTTTATTGATAACATTGTACGATGTTGTAAAGTACAGCATACATATTATAATGTCAATATTGAAACTCAGTGTTCATAAAAGGATGATACAAAGGAGGTTATCTTTCATTACATGTGATTAGTTTCAAACATAAGTTGTCTTAGGGAATGATGAGCGGAGGAATAAAAGGGCCCTATTGGAAATAACTGTAAGAATAGTAATGATATTTCATCGGTTATAAATTTGAGTAAGGCAAACTTAAAAGGGACAGAATGACACGAATCTTAGATAAGAGTGAGCGTGATCTCTTCCCCTTGTCGGATGGAATTTATCTTATTCTGAAGACGTTCACCGTGTTCAGATTACGTACTCGTGTAATGTGTAAAGGTTAGCTCCCTTTAGGAGTCAACATTACACGCATTTACGATAACATTACCCGTGGTTTATTCTATAGAACTATGTCCCTTTTTCTTATTACTTTATTGACTGATTGAATGGAATAGAAAACATGAAAAATATATAAGCTGTCTTCCTTATCAGGCGGACTCAACGGGGCATTTATTGATAGTAAAAAAACTATCTGGCCAAGTGGTTAAGACGTCTGATATGCTGCTACCACTAAGCCCTCCACAAATGGTTCGCGGGTTCGAAACCTACGTTGGGCAGTCGTAAGGTACTGGCCGTAGATCGGTTGTTTTTCTCCAGGAACGCCGGCTTTCCTCCACCAAAACCTGAAACGTCCTTAAATGACCATGTATTATGTACCCTCTACCTTGTACCATATTCACCCCATCATCTAAACCTACAACCGTGTATCGTGTATCATATACCCTCTACCTTGCACCATATTCACCCCATCGTCTAAACCTACAACAGTGTATCGTGTAGCATGTACCTCTATCTTGTACCATTCATCCCACACTCTTTACATAAAACCGTGTATCGTGTATGATGTACCCTGTACCATTTACCCCATCCTCTAAACCTACAACGATATATCGTGTATCATGTATCCTCCATCTTGTACCATTCATCCTGCACTCTTAAACTACAATCGTGTATCATGTACCTTGTATCTTGTACCATTCACCCCACCCTCTTTTGACCTAGAAACGTGTATCGTGTCCCCTCTACCTTGTACCATTCATTNATCATGTACTATGTACCCTCTACCTTGTACCATGCACACCACCTTTTTTACCTACAACTGTGTATCGTGTATCATATACCCTCTACCTTGTACCATTCATACCGCCCTCTTTACCTACAACCGTGTATCATGTACTATGTACCCTCTACCTTGTACCATGCACACCACCTTTTTTACCTACAACTGTGTATCGTGTATCATATACCCTCTACCTTGTACCATTCATCCCGCCCTCTTTACCTACAACCGTGTATCATGTACTATGTACCCTCTACCTTGTACCATGCACACCACCTTTTTTACCTACAACCGTGTATCGTGAACATGTACCATCTACCTTGTACCATTCACACCACCCTTCTTGTTACCTACAACCGTGTATCGTCTATCATGTATCCTCTTCTCTGTACCATTCATCCAACCTTTTTTTTTAACCTACAACCGTGTTTCGTGTATCCTCTGCCTTGTACCATTCATCCCACACTATTTACCTACAATCGTGTGTCGTGTATCATGTACCATCTACCTTGTACCATTTACATCACCCTTTTTACCTACAACCGTGTATCATGTATCATGTACCCTCTACCTTGTACCATTCACACCACCCTTTTTTTTACCTACAACCGTGTATCGTGTATCATGTACCCTCTACCTTGCACCATTCACACCACCCTTTTTTTTACCTACAACCGTGTATCATGTATTATGTACCCTCTACCTTGTACCATTCATCCCGCCCTCTTTACCTACAACCGTGTATCATGTACTATGTACCCTCTACCTTGCACCATTCACACCACCCTTTTTTTTACCTACAACCGTGTATCATGTATCATGTACCCTCTACCTTGTACCATGCACATCACCTTTTTTAACCTACAACCGTGTACCGTGTTTCATATACCCATCTACATTATATCATTCATCCCATACTCTTTTACCAACAACCGTGTACTGTGTTTCATGTACCCTATACCTTGTACCATTCACACGACCCTTTTTTAGCTACAACCGTGTACCGTGAATTATGTACCCTCTACCTTGTACCATTCATTCCACCTCCTTTTACATATAAACGTGTATTGTGTATCATATACCCTCTTTCTCGTATCATTCATCCCACACTCTTTTACCAACAATCGTGTATCGTGTACATACCACCTTTTTATTTTTACCTACAACCGTGTACCGTGAATTATGTACCCTCTACCTTGTACCATTCATACCGCCCTCTTTACCTACAACCGTGTATTATGTACCCTCTACCTTGTTCCATTCACCCCAACCTCTTAACCTGTAACAGTGTATCGTGTATCATATAATATCTACCTTGTACCATGTACCCACCCTTCAACCTAGAATAGTGTATTGTATATCAGGTACCCTCTACCTTGTACCATGTACCATTCATCCTATATTCTTTGCCCAAAACCGTGC